CGTCATGTGGTCGGGCCTGACGAATGGTGACTGATGTACGCCGTGCTTTTTTAAACTTCAGGCCGTGGTCATGTAGAAAACCAACAGCAGGCTGTAGCTGCTCGTGTCTAAGAATATAGTAAAATGTAAATTTCCTGCATGCTTTTGGCTTCACTTCAGTTAATGACGACAAAGTTCACGTCCCGGCTGCAGGGAGGTCGTTCCACTCTGAGGTCTGTTTGTGTGTGACCGACGCTCTGTGATGGTTTCTGTCGTGTTGACATGATTCAATCTCGCTCCGAGCCGTCTGTGGCGTGTGCAGCGCTTTTAAAAGACGTGTTTATGTTGAGCTGAGTATAGCAGTGCCTGCTCGGCTGTTTGCTCTGTCGTGGCTGTAACTTGGTCTCTGGTTTCTTTTTTAAACGAATAAATGTGACTTTTGTCCACTCCGAGCTGATAAAATTCCCAAAGGCATTTTTGGTCAGTTTTCAGTCCTGACTAAACACAGACACACTGCATGCCTTTCACACGCTTCCTTTCATGAAGGAAGGAAGAGGCATGAAGACAACAATGCTTCACTGGTTTTTACTGAAATCTGACCTGTGGATGGACTCAGTTTGTGTCCATGTCAGTCAGAAACACTCAGGCGGAGCATCTTTGCCGTGTTTGGTGTAAACCACTAAACTACAGAGCCACTGAAACATAAATGAAGTACTCAGGCCTGGAAATAAACTTTAAGTTGGCAGAAGAAACGAGCTGTTTGCTTCATTAGTCATTTTTTTAAACCTCTGTGACTGGAAACTGATGACCTCTGACCTCAGATTCTTTGGTTTTTAGTGTTCGGCTCACTGTTGAAGGAAACTGTGACGTGGGAACAGAAGCGTGACTTCGTAGGAAATGTTCTTGCTCAACGTCTCTGAGCTGTTGATGACTTGAGCAGATGTGCGTTTCACATGTGACCCAGCTCCTGTTTGCTCACTGCGAGTTTCAGCAGCGTAAACATCAGCTGCAGGAGCTGCTTATGTTTACTGACTGTTTATATGTTCTGTCAGTAACACACATCATTAACATTTTAACTTCTGTGTAGAAGCTGTAGTCAGACCCAA